CCCCCCCATATTGCAAGTCAGCTGTTTTGCCTTTAGCTCTCTAACACTTTGAATTTGGCTTTGCCTCCATGTTTTCGTGAGGTCATCCCAACATCCTTTATCCTGTTTTCCTTTGAAGTAATGGCCTTGAGTGTCCTCCAAGCTGTCGGCTTCGTTATGAACCCAACCTATACTACACTTGGACAGATTACGCTCTTCTTGGTGTTGGTGTATAACTAGGAAAATCTTTAAAATTAGATGTTCCAATTATTTATTTAAATACCTTTTTGCTGAGAAAGCTTAGTGGATTTGATAAGAAGGAATTTTGAAATCCAGCAAATAGTTCCATACCTCACATGGATGGCAGACAACTGTGCAACCAGAGTTGGTGGCGGCTGCTTGCCTGTTGGACTGAGGCGAGCAGAAGTTGCTGGTGGTGATGGCCGGCAGCAGGGGATCCACGGGTCAGCTGACTTTTTCCTATATTATTTAATACTAATGTGTGATTTTAAAAACCGTTTGATTTTCTGCATACTTTAAATTTATGTACAGTTTGATTTCCATATATTGTCTTGGAAGGATACTATGTAATGATGGGCCAGGCCTACAGTAATGGGAGACTTTTAATGTATGTGATATTTTATAGGTTGCATGCTATTAATAGTCTGTGACGGTAGTATTTGTTTTATTGTCAGTTTCCCCATTTATCTTTTTATAAATGAGATGGGATAGTGGGCAGTAGGAATTCCAAATGAATGTAGAAATCTCACATGCTACATAATATTGTGGCAAAGGGGATCCAAGTCTAAATCTGCTGACAAGCAAGCAACTATATCAGGATAGAATCCAATGGAAGAGGGAATTTTTTTTCCTTTTTGACTTGCTGTCCATTTCCTGTTTTCTTAAAAAAAAAAAAGGAACAACTTTTAAGTCACTGCTTTTAATTAACTTATTTTTGGGTACAGTTGTTTGAAAGGCCATGGTGGTATGAATCAAAATACTTTTGTCATTGATCTAATGGCCAAGGCAGTAAATCAGAAACAAAAAGTATCAACGTGTCAAGATCTAGACCTAAGAGATTCCGCCTGCTGTGTTTAAAATAAATAGGGATCTTTTCTTCAGTATTTTCCATCTTTTGGCCATTTGCTGTCTATTTCCCTCAGGGCCACTGTAGACTTTGCAAGGGCCTGCTGCTGTGCTGTGCATTCCTAGAGGTCACCAGGTGGGGCGTTTTCCCTCCCCGTCCTTTCCCCTTCTGCTTGTTTATTACCCAACTAGAATGTCTTATTCGCCTTCCCAGGGATTTCTGTAATGTAGCTGTGCTCCTTGGCAGTCTCAGGTTGATTAAAGATGATTTGAGAGGCCTCAAAATGATGGTAGTTGGCATCTATCCTTTCGTGTCCGTTTTCTTTTAGCAGGTTACCATTCTGCATTAGGAACTATTTTCAAATTATTTTATTTCTGCTCAGTGGAGAGCAGGGCCCCCTTTCCCTTGGAAAAGGATTCAATGGAGGAATTGGCAGGTGACTGCCCAATCTCTGAAAGAATGGGGACCTGCCTGAATCACTTCTGAACTACTCGGACCAGAAACGCTTGATTGGTGATTTTCCTCACATGATTTATTTAGGATCATAGCTTTAGAGCTAGAAGAGATTGTAGTTCAGTCTCATTTTACTGAAGAGGTTAGATGGTTCATTTCAGATAAGAGCTAATTAATAATGGTAGTTTCTGACTCTGCCGCTCGTTACTATTTCTAGTGTCTTAAATGAATATGCTGTATGTTTCTTCAAAAATTAAGATTCTCCTGGATGTCTTCAGGAAGATACTTGAAAAGCTATTATTTCAGTTAATACCACCACAGTATTCGTTAAAGTAAACTTGTTTAAAGGCGTGTACTAACTGCAACCTTAATAACTACTCGGTACAAATGGCCTTTTCCATGAGGTGGATGTAGCAGAAATGTTCTTTCAGCACTGGTAGGAGCACAGCAAGCAGCCTTATAAAACAGACATTGCGGTCATTACCTTAGATTTACTTCATGCTGATTTTTGTTCCTGTTTCTTATTGAGAATCGATCACATAATTCTTTAAAGGACAAATAATCCTTGCTAAATATCTTGAGATTTTTTTCTTTAGTAAACAAAAAAGCATCCCCAAACCAAAAAACTTATTTTCACATTAAAATGGAAATGTCTTTTGCAACTTCAGAATGCTATGAAAAAGCAGTTTTTATAATATTTTGTGTCCCTGAATCTTTTACCTTAACTAAATGGTTTACAAAGAGAAGGTAAACAATCTGATCTGGCCAGTTATACTTTTAGCTCCCAGAGAGAAGGTTGGTGGTGTGAGTAAAAATCACGCAGGAAAACTTGAGGGAGCGTCGTTGCCGGTAATATCCGTGTGTGTGCCATTAAACCACCTCCATGCGTGGGGGAGCATTCACTTCTTAATTTTGAAATTGTATTTGGAATTGTTGCTGTGTACTAAGAACTGACCAAATAAAATTCCACAAAGTATCTCAGTGTTTTGTGAATTCTTTCTAAGGTGGAATGTACCAAGTGTGGGGGGAATCCTTCCCGTTGCTCCACACCAGCAGCTCTTTTAGTAAGTCTTCAGACTTCAAATATTTAAAATGTTGAGCCTTAAAAGAATTTTAATCTCTGTGAAATTTCTTTTCTTCAAGACAGCTGTTTTCTATCACTGTTTAGGTGAACCTAAAGTTTTATGATCACTTTTCCTCTAGTTTCGGTAAATGATAAAGTGATTTGTAAATACACCTTTATATATACCTTGACATAGCAGTCCAACATAATTGTGATACCAAAGTTTTGAACAAAAAGGATCCCTTTTGTACTAGTTTGTACTTCTGTTTAAAAGAAAAAAACAGCTATTTAACAACCAAAGCGTCCTAGTTTGTGTACTTAAAGATTAACCAATTGAACACTTCAAATTGTATTTCACTTTCACACTTAATTTGTTCTTACTGCACAACCTATTTAGGGTACCCCAACATAAATAGCAAAACCAGGTTCTTAATGGTGCCGATCCACAAACAGTCAAGTGAAGTCCCCATGTTTAAACGAAATCTATGCATTATTTTTATTAAGGGTTGGGTAAGCTGACATGGTGAAAACATGTAACTGGAAAACAAATTTACACTGACTGACTACTGTCCTAAGCCATTACAATACTCAACTGGCAAGAGTAACTTGGAAAATAACTTAATCTAGCAGTAGAACAAAAACATCGTCAGTAGTACTGAATATATCTCTCTCATATATATATCTATATATATCTATAGGTTTGCACAATCAGGGAGCAAGGCACATAATGAAATGAGAGCATACATTTAAACAAGAAAATAGCAACAAAGCTGAAAGAAAAATTGTAACTTCATCTTCACCGAGCTGTGCATAATCATTTGAATAATGTCCTCTATCGGCTACTTTATAATGCAGTTCCTTTTGTCTTCTTTTCATGCTTTAAAAAAGTACATTCCTATGTTGTATCTATTTACTTATAGCAAAGCTTCCCACAGCCTACATGTCAATGTGAGCCTTGATTTAACTTTTTAAAGAAATGGAAAGAGAGGGAGCAATCCCAGTTAAATATTATGTGCAATTTTCCTTTAAAATAGTAAACAATGTTTTTACACCATTTAGCACAAGCTAATGATATTTTATTTTAAATGTACATTTCTATAAAAGGAGTTGACTAGTGACTGACAATAAAATTAAACATCATTTGAAACATTCCAGTTAATGCTTATCTTCTAGGAGAGATTATTTACAAGTAAAGGAAAAATATAGAGATGGCAATCATGGAAAATGGCAGTTTTTGGTATTAGGTTACCATGAATTCAACAGTGGAAACAGTGGATAGTTCCAAAGATGCTGAGGTTTTCCCCTCTAAGTGCTGCAAGCATACTCTGCCTAAGAAAGCTTCAGCATTTATGAGCTGAGCTCGGTGTCAACAGCCGTCTGTGACCAACACACTCACTTCTGTCTTTGGTAGAAAGCAGCCAGTCCTCGTTAGGCGGATGGAGCCATCTCTTGTGAGATAGTAACTT